GATTTTTGTATTAAAGTTTTTTTAATTGATTGATGATTGATTCAATCAACTAATTTGTTGATTGTATTAACTTGATTCTTTAGATATTGAAAATTAAATAAATAACATTATGTTAATTTAAGCGTACAGAAACGTTGCTGTTGTTCCAGCATAAATTTTATTTTCACTTTACGGAGTGCCTAGTAGGTAATGTGCAGATTAACGAATTTCGAGCTTTAGCGGTAACATATACACCACGAATATTCCAAAAATAAATTCGTATCAATGAGACCAATATAACTTACACGTTCTATTAGTCTGTAAGCAAAGTAATTTATTTGAAATTTATATTATTCACTAAAGAAACGATAAATTTTAACTATTTTATTTAATTATTCCTTTCGTGTATGAAATATATTAAATTTAAAAAAATATTCAAAATAAGTACGAAAATTTGTGCAAAAAGTAAAATCTTAATTAATTTATATTTAAAGTTAAGCTGAAAAACCCAATCGTTTGGATTAATTAATTAAATGTAAATTTTACAAAAACGTTTTAATCCCATTTCCTTTAATTTGTATTCGAATAATTTGACTTATTTTATTTTATAAAAATAATAATTAAAGTCGTAAAATTTTATAAAATCGAATGACCGGTTTTGTCATTCCGTCGTCATTTTATATAAAGGAAGAGGATGAGAAACGAACGAAAACGTTCGAAAATTGAAAATATCTTCGCATCTTAAATTAATAACGTCCATTTATACGACATTGCTTAACCGAACTTTAATAAGAGAGGGTTCGAATTTATCACAGTTCTCGAGTCAAGAATTTGTAATCGACCGAGCTATTTCGGTTGATTACAAATTCCCGATACCAGAACGGGACATATTAGAAACTAGTCTAAAACACAGGTTTGACCTTATGTACGGTCATATAAGTGTTTCAGATTAGTTACCGGCCTTTTCGGGTGGTACACGTTGGCGTTTTTAATGTACTTTCGACCTTATTTAATCGCTTTGACAGAAAATACACTTTAACTTTTGTCTCGTTATGTGAAGCACCATACAATATTGCAGTCGTTCTGCTTCTAAATGAAACTAAACGCCCAAATTTTTAAATAATACATTCTGCGAAATATTAAAAATTAGAAAATTTTTAATTGTTACTTTATTTTCGAATTTTGTAAGCGTAAAATAAGATACAAGAATCTTTGATTATGATATTACGCAGAAAGAATGAATACTTTTCCAACTGTTTTATTTACTGAACTGTAGAAAAAGAGGACCTGCGTTTCGATTTCAGAAAACCATTCCCGTTTTCCACAACGTCCATCAAGATGTTGTATTTTTACTATTTTCATTAAATTTTCATTTATTAAAAATAACTTTACAAAACATATTGTTTACATCCACAAAATAAAACGTTTTAAACACAATTCAAAAATTACAATGAAAATTATACTTCAAAATTTATTGTTTTTAAGTTTAATATGTGGGTTTACATTTTATTGAATATATTTTCAAACAAATCCAACAACGCGATCATTTTCATCCATTTTTATTTTTTCGTTTCCTTCATAGAAAATATCATTTATAATTCTTATGACGTTTAATAATATGATCCTTTAAACTAGCTTGAAAACGAAACTTTTCTGAGCAATAATCACACGAGAATGGCTTTTCTCCGGTGTGAAGACGAAGATGTCCTATCAGACTTTCTTTTCGCGTAAAACTCCGTTTACAATGATCACAGGAAAAGGGTTTCTCTCCGGTATGAATCTTGACGTGTTTACTCAAATTGCTGGAATAGTTGAACTGACGATTACAGAATTGGCAAGACAGGAGCCCTTCACCAGTGTGAAACATTCGATGATATCTTAATCCTTTCTTCGAAACGAATTCTTTCTGGCAACTGCCACATCGATACTTCCCATTTCTTGTTTCATTACGAAAAAATCTGTGAAATATAAATGAAGATATCTAAACTCTCGATGTATTATTTCAATCAAATATATAAAAATGTAAATTCGAGTGCACTATTTTATAAAGTATTGTTAAAACTTGTGTTTGCAGATAGAAAAGTAATTTGCATTTTTCTCACAAGTTTTCCTTAAACTAAAATTAACGGGATACAATCTATTGCGATTGCCTCACACTACATATACGAACTTCTTTCCGGCGCTTACAATTGTTACCAGCGATCACAAATTATATAATTTATAGATAGAAATATATTTTTCTAGAAACAATTTATACGAAGAATATTATTAAAAAATTATTGGAAAATAATCTCAAAGTATCTTCATTCAATTTCCACTTTTCCTTCATTTGCAAAAAAAATGTTTTCTTCTGTGTCGTTTTCTCGTATCATTTCTCGCCATCACTTTAATTTAATCTTCCGTAAACAGAAGCCGTACGAACTAATTCTTCGAATTGTCTTGCGTTTTACGGGAAACAATTCGTCAGTTATTACACGGGTGTTTCTATTGGTCGGCTGTGGATCTGAAATAAAAAGTTCTCTATGTCATAACATATGAGAAAAACGTAAATTATTTGTTTCTTAATAAAATTAGATAATTTAAAATTACAGCTTCAGCCAGGAAATCTGTAAGAAGGAACGAATTCCAGTCAATTTTAATATAGAAGAATACGTATAAATAAGTTTGAAATAAATCGTAAATAATAAAATAAAGTGATATTAAGTACAACATTCAAAGTAATTTATCGGCGACGTTTAGAAACAAGTAGATCGAGTGTTAATGTGTTTTAGGAAAGCTACTTCCCTTTCAGTTAAACGTTTTACCGCTTTCATTTCGGAATTAAAAGTTATATAAGCAAATGTTTCTTGTAAAATATGTATTTAAATATACCTTCTGAGAAGAAGTAAAAATCTACTTATATTTTCTTTTGACGAAGGTAGAATTTTTCTTACGGAGTCCCTATGGAGGCACTTTTGGAATCTCGACAGCACGAGTCTTAAGAGTAGTTATAGATGTGGAAATCGTCTAAAATTATAACGTCATGTACAGTACTAGGTAAGATTTACCCTCCGAATGAGGGGGTAGCCACCCCCCCAACGGGTAGCCCTCCCCCGTACGAACAATAAAAATATGAAGTATTGTCCGTTGTACTTATACGGTNATAATAATAAGCGCAGAGCCCCAAACGGTCAGGAGTTGAAAGTTGAAATTTTGTACACAATTAGAATATGTAATGAGAATGCATACTAAAAACAAATTTTGGAAATTTTCCCGGAGAGAGAAAAGGAGAGAATTACGGATTATTCTGAAGAACCTAGCTTCTACTGTATTATTTTATATACTTTTTTGTTTTTTTTTGTTTCTGAGTTTTTGCGGGAAATCGAACATATTTTTAAACTTATCTAAAAAATTTCTAATAACTCTGAAAAAAGGAAAAACTTCACTTTTGCACGCAGTGTAAACGGGTAAGATCGATTATATAACTATAAAAGTTACCGAACGTAAGGGTTTATCACACCGAATGACCAATCTAACACATATTAAAAGTTCGTTATTCCTATACTGTACACGATTTTAAAAATGTGTTAAAATAAGTACTCAGTGTGATAAACTCTTACCTAAGATAATATAGTACAGGATTTAGAAGTACGAAACAAACTTAATCTTTGCTGCTGTTATTTTTTGTCCGAGCAACGCTAAGCTCATCTGCTATTATAGTACAAATTCCAATAACCTTCGATTTATTTACAGAACGGATCCATAGTTTTAAACTACTTTTGCTCTGTAGGCACTAAGAGGGCTTCTTTTTAAGTAGGCCTTTTTGGGCTTTGCCGGGTGATATGGGACAAGGCAAGACATATTTTCCAGACAGAAAACCTTCCGAAAAATTTCTGGAGATTTTTCGATCCGTCCGGATTCGATCCTGGCTCCCCAGAACAGTAGGATATGCCCTTGACAGTTCGGCAGTCCAGCAGACAGGATTCTGAGGAGTGCCAAGTGTGCGTACGCACTCCCTGAAATCTTCAAATTTCAAGTAGAAAAGAGTTCTCCATAGCACAACTACAGAGCAGAGAATATAGATATTGATATGAAGCGCCATCTAAATTAAATTCCAGCATCTGCCCCTGATTTGTTTATGGCAAACACGACACGTGGGGGATCCTGCGAAAAGGAATGTCCTTATTAGTACCTTTATGAGAAACTAGACTCTATTTCAGTGTTGCTAAGGTGAACGAAATCTGGATAACTCGTGGCCAGCCGGTTGCTGAGTCCCGAATTTACGATTTTATCCACTCGCAACTCACTAATCAACAGAATTCTAAATTGCCTGAAATGTTTGGAAATGCGGCACCTTCTGAAAACTATTGTAAAAGTTTAGTAACCAATAAAATAAGAACTAATAATTAGTGTTATTAAATACAGAAAAACTGCTTGAACATTTCTTGTTTTTTGCCATCACTCCACTCAATTGTACCAAAGAGGAGAAAATGGAATACAATGCACTCACCACCTACAACAACAAGAAAGTTATTTAGTTAAAATCTATTAAACAATTATAGTAAATCTACTTACTCTTATCAAAAAGTTTCTCTTTATAAAGAAGAAATCGGCAACAGAGATTCCCATAGGCATGCCTTTAAATCGTTTCATGAAACCAGTTATCTGTGCAGAAGAATGAAATATTATTATTAACTTCGTATGATTTTAGTTCTACAATGCAATACTAATAAAGTGCATAAAGTCACCTTGAATTTGAATTGTAAGTACAAATCAGCAGAACATAATTTTACAATAGAACTGAAATCGTCGTAAATCTAAAATTTTAATGTAATCAATCATGAAATAATGAACACATTTATTATATCTTGCAAATTTTAAAAGGTGTTTAAGAAATATTCGTTAAAAGAAATTATTGTAAATAATTAATTAAATGTAAGCTTTCAGTAAAAACACATTACTTTTACGAACCATATTTAAACGATTTTGTGTGGAAAGCTTCGCAACTCATAAAAATTTTTTTCCTCGAATTGAGAAGGCAGTTGCTTTCTTATTTCTTCGAACCGTAAATTTATGCAAATTCCGAAAAATGCTGATCATTGTAGTTCTAATGGACAAAGCAATTTTTTCATTCGCAATTAAATACGAAAAAAACTGCTTGAACACCCGTCCCTATAGTTGATAAACATAAACTTTTACCTTATGTTTCTGAAATTACCTAGCTACTACAGTAATACCCCGAACTTACACGATAGGTCGGACCGAGCGGCAACCAAGCGGAGTATAATTTCGCATATAAATACAGTAGATACAAAAAATTTTTAATTGGGGCCGGAGACTAAAGAAAACAATAATTTAGAAAAAAATGTTTAATAAAATCTTAGATAATACATATGTATAACAAATTAGGCCTATATTATTTTACAATTTTTCACATTTACTTAATTATTACGCCATAATTTTAACATTGTTTCCATCTTAGCGATAATACCGTGACGTTTACGAATGACGCTCGAATTTAAAGATTGAGCATTTTGCACAGCTTCGAGAATTTTTTCTTTGCCTTTTATAATTGTTCTGACCGACAATTCCGGTAGATCAAACTTCTTTGCCAATTCACAAATTTTCATTTTTGTATCGAAGTCTTTA